CGTGTGCGGTGCCCCCCTCCACCATATTCCACCTCGGTCATATCGTCACGGAGTTTAGGCGAAGCCCTGCACCGAGAGAACATCATTATCGTCACCACGCCGTCGTGCTGACGGAACTCATCCCCAACGCTTAGCTGGATTGGAGCCCGGGGAACGTCATCGAGCTGAACGTGTGCTGAACACGGAGGTGCCGTACGTTCGGTGCTTGGGTCGGTCGATTCGTGAAGACGTACGACTACATCAACCGCGTTGTCATAACGCTTCCGCTTACAGTCTACGAGGGTATGTGGACAACACTCTCCCCTCTCGTTGCTATGCCATCACCATGATCTTGCGTGTGCGTAGGAAAATTTTAAAATTACTACGTTCCCCAACAGCGGCTGCGGCGCGGGAGGCGGGAACGGAAGCGGGCGGAAGTTGGTTCGCGCCAAGGAGAGAGGATCTAGCAAAAACAAGGGTGAATCTCGTAGTTGGCGAAAGGTAAACGCTTGTACCCGGCGCACCGGCCCAAAATTCGGCCGGTCTACTCGCTCACACCGCGCGTAGCGCTAACGCAGGAAGGGACACGTCATCCCCACGAGGGCCCCGCACACCGCCCTGCTCCCTTATCTCTTCAGCGCGACTGTTGGCCACACACCGCCCTGCTTCCTTATCCCTTTTCTTCCTCCTGCCCACGCCGCTGCTCCTGCCTCCCTCTCCTTCTTCCACCTCCCCTCCCCATTGACGCTGCCTACCTCTCCCTCTCCTTCCGCCTCCTTCGCCATGGGCGCTCCCCACCTCTCCCCTCCTTCCACCTGAAGCCGTGCTAGCTGCGGGACCCCGAGCGCCGTGCTGCGACAGGCATCGGGGGGTGCTGGACCTCCGGTGGCCGAGCTGCGACGGACTTCTCTAGCGTCGAGTGCTGGAACCAGCGATATCCGATGCTACTACCGGCTTTGTCGGGTGCTGGAACCAGCTTCATTTTTTGTTGGAACTTGCTTTTTTTTCTGCTACAACCATGTTTTGTTTTTGCTGGAACTGGCCCATGCTTTTGCTACCACCCCCGCCCAAATTTTTGCTACTAGGTGATTTTTGCTGCAACCGATGAACCATTTTGCTACAACCGTTTTGATTTTTTGTTACTACCGGTGTTTGTCGATTTTTTGCTACATACATCTTCTGTTTTTCCAGTCTTTTTTGTTACAACCATATTTTGATTTTGCTGGAACTGAAGACATTTTTTGCTACATCCACCCACGGCGGTGTTGCTCAACGGCGGCGATAGTTTTTTTTTCTACAACCGTCTCGGATTTTTGCTACTACCGGAGATGCCATTTGCTACCACCGGAGTTTTTGCTACTACCAGAGTCTTCATGGAAACATCAAGAGTTTTTGCTACCACCATTTGTTTTTGCTGGAACCATCCTAAAATTTTGCTACCACCGTATTTTGATTTTGCTGGAACCGGCATTTTTCACTTCGGTGTCGGCGATGAAGGCGGGTGGTGTTTTTGGTTCGCCGGCGGCGGCGAGGCTGCGAGCGCCGGCGACGAGCAGGGGCAGCGGTGGTCCAAGCGAGAGAAGCGCATGCCAGAGTGCGGGATCCCGCGAGCGGCGGTGGCGTCTGCTTTTTGTGTCTCCTCTTTTTTCCCATGGGGAGGATGACGATAGGAGATGTGGGGCAGATCTGACGGTTACGCATGTCCAGATCGAGTGGCTCTGGTTGGACCGGCCGAAACGTTCCGCCGGTGCGCCGGCGCAGAGTACTGCCCTTGGCGAAAACGATCCGGAGTACGCAGGATCCCGCAACCTTTTTTTGGATGGTCGAAATTGCCTTTGTTTTATAAACCGGCGGTTATTATGCCGGATGGATGTGCTAGAGATACTCTAAGGTTATATTTGTAAAAAACATAGGCACGGTCGGCATTCTCGCTGGTACACCCCACAACCTACCTCTCCATTTGCGAAAGAAAAAGAAACCTACCGCTCTCCGACCGTCCATGGCGCCGGCGGCGGTCCGGCCGTGGGGGGAGCTGCAGCACGACCTCCTTGTGGCGATTATGTCCCGCGTGGGCGCCCCCGATTTACTTTCTGGCGGCGCACCCCGTACCTGCTCTGCGTGGTGGGCCGCCGCTCGCGACCCGCTCGCATGGCGCCGCGTTGATCTCCGGGACTGGACAGCCCGGACCTCCGCCCGGCGCGCGGCTGGGACCGGTGCCACCAGAGGGAGCATCTCCGTCCAGGCCGCTCTCACCGGCGACCTTGAGGTCGCCGCAACGCGGGCAGATGGTCGGATGGAGGCTGTGCTCCTCCCTGAGTTTGCCGATGAAGAGCACCTCATGTTCCTCGCCGAGAGGTGAAGCTTCTTTGCCCTTGTTCCTGTAATCTTGTTTGCGCAGTCCCTGTGCTGTTCATTCCGCTGTAGTCATTTACTGCATAAAATTGATTAGGTTATCCTACTGCCATACCTTCTTGTATTCGATTAACTTATTATTAAATGTGGTATTTTCTGTGATAACTCATATGATCGGTTGATCTGTGTAGAACTAAATATAGCTATACTGATAACGTGGAACTGTGCCTGTAAATTTGTACTAATCGCAATTTTCTGTAGTGCAATTGAGGATTCTAGTAACGTAGCTGTACAATGCGTGTTTGTGGAAATGTCTCTTTTAATTCCTTTATGGGCCAGCACAATTCCATAGGATTTGACATGATCTAATTAGGATTATGATTGTTCATCTGTAAATTCATATGGGACCTCCAAGTTTCTGAATGTTCATTTTATAAAACTTTGGCAACATTACCATCAAATTCATATTAACGTGATTAGTTTCCTGTGTGATTTTTTTCTTATGGAGTAGCTACTGATATTTCATTTTTAGATTGTTTTGTCAGTTCAAATGGTGAAGTGTCATGTCATTAAATTTGAATGGAGTGAAATTGCTATTAATTTCTGTGATATTTTTCTAGGTTTACACATATTTTTGTGCAAATTTACCTAATCTTTTTTTGACAAAGATTTTTTTTGAGTATCCAAGTGAATTTGATACTTTGTAACCTAGTCTGTAGAATCCCGAATGCTCTGGAACACAATTCTTATGGACAGTTTTTCGTTTCAACTGCTATGTTTATGTAGTTATATGTTGGTATCGTTTTTCAACCTCATATGTGTAGAAGTTACCAGAGGGAATAGTAGTGAAATTGAAGAGGGAGTTTGCAGTTTGCATCATTTGATTAATGAAACTCATAATTCCCAATGGGCTCATAATAAACTTCTATTTATTTACTGACAATGTTTAGTTGAATCATGATGAAAATCAAGTGCCGCTGGCAGTGATAATAGTAAAATTGAAGAGGGAATTTGCCACAGGGGATATTTAGGTTACCATAGGGGGCAGAAGTGCAATTGAAGAGGGATTTGCAGTTTACATGATTCGAACAATGAAAATAATCGTTCCCAATGTAGTCATAATAAACTTATGATCTTTTTTGTTGACAATGTTTTGGTGAATCATAATGAAAATGAAGTGCTTCTGGCAGTGATAGCTTTCAATTGCCAATTAAGTTCTTGGACTTGTATTTTAAAATTGTGGTCCTTTAACTATCAGAAGTTAATAAATTAGACAATTAGTTACATGAAAGATGAGGGATGATGGTTTTAAAGATGAGGTTTGGCCGTCAATGTGGCACGTGGTGGCTGTAACACTGAAGCTAGCATGCCATTTTTTGAGATTTGTTATTAGTAGATGTTTTAAGCTGATGTATTTCTTGTTAATTATTTAAAATGTCTGTTTTGACTCAGTAGTACGAGAGCCTTATAACGCATGGTTGTTGTATCTGTGTGGTAATAGTACTCGCTTGTGAACCTCTGCTTGAAAATAGGTTTTGTCAATATCCTTGTTGGTGGTCACATTGTTACCACATGCTTCAAATTATTTCTGCATAAAAAAGATGTATTCACAATGCACAACCTGCCCAGCCCCTATTGCCCACATATTCACATCCTTGTTGGCCCAACCTGGTTGGCATCCTGTGGGATGCCATTCTGTTTGCATTTTACTAGATGCTGCTGCTGAACTGCAATTGTCTCCTACCCCCTTCCTTGCCATGTTTCATCCGTTCTATGTGTTTCGCCCTGTTTTTTCTCATTTTCTTAATGTCCTAGTGCTCCTTGATAAATTCTTGAAGTACTGAGCTGCATGCTTACATCCTTGCTGCACCTTACCAGCTCAGTCTTGCTGTTTAGGGTTCGCCTTCCCACCACCTCCGACCTGTTGCCTCTGTATCCCTTGCTTTTCCTTATAACCATCCTCGCAGCTTGCTTTGATGGTAAACCAACCATCCTAGGCAGTCTTATTGTGCTCATGTAATGTTAGTTTGGTACATTTTAGAAAAAAAAACTGAAAGTAAGAAAGAGAAGCAGCGGTGTGAATAGTGTGTTTCATGAATTAAATTTCCCTGTGAGAACTGAAGAGTTGATGACTTCTTAAGTTATTATATCACATAACATGTTAAGGTGACTCTGCTGTGCAAATCACAAAAGAAGCTAGTGTTCTCAGCTTTTAATATGTTAAGTTTATTTTTCTTCTTGCAATTTGTTTGATTCCTATTCGTTTATTCCATGCCCTGGGATTCTTAAAAGTTAATTGCAAACTTCAACTTAATTATTCTTGTAATTGGCGCAAAGAAACATATGTGTTGAATACGAGTTAAACATAAGTTATATTTACCTCTAGAGTGAATGTCATGGACAGATCAACAGTCTGTCGTATATCTGTAATCTGCAATGTTTTGTCTTGAACAATATTCTCGAATTGATAGTTGGTTGCATACCTGTACATTCAAGCCACACCTAGTGTACACATGTGACAAGGTGATCTACTGTTTGGAACAATGAGACATATCATGGTTATGAAGTTCGTCTAGATATTGGTCAGAAGTTTTACGTGGTCAGTTGAATATTTGGTTCTTGATGTTTATCTTTTGACAATCTGGTCATGATGCTTTAATGAATGATATTATTTGTTAGTGCATTTTTATTTGTGGTTCTGATATTTTCGGTGAAAAACCCTGCAAACTTGCAAAACTGATTCAACATGATTTTTGTAAACTCAGGTGCATTTGGTTTTGAGAGAAGTCAATATTACAACCTTGAACTACCACCAAAGTCTAATATACAACCCTGAACTACAAAACCGTCTACTTTACAACCTCAAATTTCAAAACCGGACAAGAAACAATCCTGCACTGGTTTTTGACTGGTCAACAGCCCAGTCAACCGCAGTCAGGGCTCCTGACTGGATGTTGTAATATGGTATATAATTTATATGTGGCAGTACGGCATTTGTTTGACACGGGATTTTTTATTGGCATGCTTATGGTCGTTACAAAAACTGATTGCAGCTAAATGCTTTTCC